TTTTTGGTCTATAACGTCAAAAAACAGACCGCGTACCCTTAAGGCATTTCGGAACTGTAAACAAAATCTTTACATTAAGCATTGTTTTCTCGGCTACCTTTATCTGTAGAAATGTATGAATTATGTATAATACGCAAGTATTTAGAGTTAAATATGTATTATTTACTACACTAGAGAAACAAACAAATCACAATAATGCACTTGTATATTATTACAAAAACTATAGGTAGATAAATACTAATACAAACATATTTAAAATAAGTGTATTTTTGTATAATTTGTAACTGTACAGTACTATAATTATTGCGATCGAACTTTTTTTTAATTCGTTAACCATAAAACAATTTAGCACCCTGATATAGCAATTGCATAGTAATATTTGTATTGCTAATTTAAATAGCAACTTAAAAACTTTCTGTTTAATTGCGTTGCGCTATTAAACACTATTTTTAATTTGAAACAATCATTATTTGAAGTAATAATTTTATCTAGAAGAGCACGTCAGTTTATCATTAATCTAAAGTAAAAATACAAAAGGTAGGTAGGTACTATAAAGAAAACAGTGTATCATCTTAATCCCATATAAAACCGAAAGTTGCTTGCGTGCTTACGGTACACTTACGTTATTATTATTTATAATAGCGGCTTAGGGAACATATAACGATTTTCCATGGATCAACTAAATTATATATACTCCAATAAAAGCACCATACATATTAGACGTACTGCAGGTGCCCATTAAACTCCAGTATTATAACACTACAAATTTACATTGTTTCTCGGCTAAATTAATATTAGTACCCTTTGAATACATTATTTCAGGTTAAGCTCGTTGTTTTAATGAAACCATATATCACCAAATAAGCTGTATACTGTTAGTGTTTAAGCTAAAAATACAAGATTTGAAGGATAAGATCTACAAACAATATACATATATTATATTATAAGTTATTATTAAATGATAGAAAATGGAATAATAAAAATTAACACATTATATGAATTTTTGCAGACTCACATTTAAATAGATAATTCATAATATATAAATAATAGTTCAAATAAATAATATATATTTATTTTTCATTTATTTATTATGAAAATAGTATTTACAATTTGTACTTTAATGTATAAGCACAAAAAGTTCTAATAGTACTAACTAGTAGGCTGCTAATTTAATAAATATATACAAGAACATTGTGATTAGGCTATCAAGCGATAGAACTCTAAGTGTAATAAATAATTTGAATGATAAATTCATTAAAGTATAATTTTACGAATTCAGAATTTAAGTAGAAGTAAATTTAACTATTTGATAGTTTTAGTTTCAATGCAGAGCTATAAAAATGTTGTTTTTACAACGATGTGTTTTTGTTTATTAATTTTTTTATGCTTGTGTCTGGGCCCAAAACATCTTCTATAACGCTAAACCAACTTCGTTATGTAACAAGTTTATAGATCAGAAATCGTATAAATATATATATTTACTGTGATTTGCTGCTTTTAAGTATTATATGTAACGGCTCTTGTTACAATAATATTATGCGTTTACAAATGAGTTTTCATGCACAGGCTTCTGTATAATAATTAGATAAAATTACCCAATCCTCGCGTAGAAAGTTTTTGGTTATTATTTTAACATGGCGTAATGAGTCTCTAAAACTTCTTAATTATTAAAGTACTCTCGAAAAAGACGAAATCCTCAGAGATTTATTTAAACCCTAACTGTCGGTTAGTTAATGTTCATAAAAAACAAATCCAAATGATACTCTGTTTAAATTCAAAATTACAGTTTCTTATACTATAGTTAATTTCTTTAGTGTAGGCTACTAACATTTTCTTTCAAGTTATTTGTAAAAAAAGGAACCACATTACCATTGATGACAATAAACTAAAACGGAAGTATATTAAAAACATTAACAAATGTATGTTTCGTATTAACTCTTTAATTATGTTATATTACTTAATTTTAACTTGACACATCTTTTAACAAAAATGTAACTCGATTACAGCAATATTTTATTACGGCGAACGTCACACTTGTCACTTTTTAAATAGTTATGTACAGGTAATTTTTTTCGTTAGACTTTTAGCATACTAATCAATATTTTTTTATTAGATATTTATAACAACATTTTTATCACGAGGTTTTTCGAAAAAAAAACAGCCTAATGATTTTTAAATACGGTTTTTCCATAAATATAAAAGAAAAATAGTTCTGTAATTTTTGAAAAGAAGGTTAATTGACTTATATAAAGAGATATCTCTTCTTAAAGAGATTTTTTGAATCATGAGTTAAAAAAGATGATGAGAAAAATGGATGACGCTTCGAAGAATGATCAAATTTTGGTAGTTGTTTTTTTTCAAAAGAAAGATATTTTTAACACAGAAAGAGATATTCTGTTTATATGATATATAAATGGAATACTAGCACACTCTTTGTACGGTAAAATGGTTTTGCTGGTGTCCTCTCATCTATTTAAACCAAAGGTCATTATTACGTCACTAATAACTAGCCTCGTTTTTTCGTCATGTGTACATATCTATGAATACTATCAATAGAGGTTTTAATAGATTTTGTATGTTTAGACAAGTGACGTGTAATTTTAACATAATTCCACTTCCACTCATCATGGGATATTGTACAACTCGGTGTTGTTATTGTGTTTAATGACTGGTATTTGTTGATTTAACAAACACCCAGCCTAGTCGGAGAAAAAAGCCTCTTGCAGCCTAACCGCAGATGATTTTAATTAAAATCTAACTACTCTTAATGATAAAACCACAACAAAGCCGTTATTTATACAATCTTGACTTTTGCCGGGTACTGTTTGCCGTTTGAATACTTTTGTATGCAGATTAAACGGGTCTGCTATGTTAGGAGTTAAGCATGTGTTCCATTTTAAACGGTAAAGATCCATTTTAAACTACACGCTTTCAGTATTGGCGCAAACAAGGCTGTTTCCAGGTCGGTTTCCAGGAGTTGTCTTTTCATGTCGTGTGTTGTGGTTATGTAACCAAGACGACAAAAACCACGAGCCTTAGTATGGCCTATGAGCTACCAACATGCAATATTGTGAATCCACACACACACACACACACAAACACATTTTGTATAATAACCAAATAAATAATTTGCTTAAATAATGGCTTTCTCCTTGGAGTTAGATTAAGTTAGGTTGTAGTAATTCCAAAATATCCAGTAATGTCAACTGTCAAGACTGTTTCAGTATAATTATTCTACTACTATAATATTTCGACCATTTTGAAGGATACGTGGAGTTTGTAATCAACGTTATTCACATATACCCAACAGTTAATGGGTCTATGGTAATGTAGTAGGCTCAAAGAAACCTGGTAACTTTATCAAAAAACCATCAAAGCACGTTATTTCAAATGTTTAGGATTGCTAAATTAGATTTTTTTTTTTTAAAATATGGGTAAATTAGTAAATACTTAGTAATAACATTCATGATTTATTTAATTTGGTCTTAACTTCTCAAAATAATTGCTAATGCACTAGTATGACCCAAAGAATAAAATCCACCTCATTGGCTTTGCATGCAACACGAAATTATATTGAACGATGTAAAAGATTAAAATGTTTATACTGTGCATACAAAAATTGCTATGGTAGGGCAACATGATACAACGAAAGAAAAGCAGTATTGTTAATCGCCAACGAAGTTATTACATCCTGAATTGATTTATTATTTATTCGGTTAAGTCAACTACAACATTTTGGCTGTCACCTTTATCACAGTGTATAAATTATTCAATCTAAATAATTCTTCGAATTCGTTAGTACGACAACGTCATATTATTTAAATAATAATATGCATTAATACCACGTTTTTATTATTATAACGTTATTATGTTATTTTGCATTTTAGTAGTCAACTAAAGTTTTAAATACACGTGATCGTTAAAATATGTTGTTAACCAGATTAAACTGGTTCATGTTTTTATTTATAATGTAAGAAGTAATAGCTTTTTATACTAATTAAATATTCACATTTTGACGGCATTTACATTTATACACTTTGCGCGATTAGAGGCTTTCCAACGTTTTAAATATTCTACCAATATATAATTATATAAATAATAACTAATAATGTATTGAACTATCTTGTAGTTCTATCTATTTTGTAGTAATAACAAATTTAAACAATGCATGATTTTTTAATTCTATTCGTTCTAATTTTAAATTACGTTAAAAGTAAAAAAAAAATCGTTGTTTAATATTTAAGGAAAATATTACAGCTTACAAAATATTATATACTTAAGAAAAAATGAACATTTAACGTCTGAAAATTAAAAAATATAACTTAACTAACTTTAAAAAATTCAACCAATGTTTTTTTTTGTGTGTTTAAAAATTTTATGAAATATTCATAAAATAAATAGGTACCTACACCGTTTACTTTTGTAATAAAATAACAATTTTTTTATGAAGATAAACGTATCGTGCTATAATATGATATTAATTATATCTAATTTATATCTTAACCAACGTGTATAATATATTGTTTTTACATAACATAACTTCAGTAATATTACGGACATCGTTGAGCTTTACAAAATCTAGATTTTCCAACATTATATTTTAATATTCAGAGAAATCAAATATAAATTAAAATGTAGTATATATTTTGTTATTATACAGGTTCTATATACTTAAAGATAACTTAACCTATTGAATATCCATGACTCATGTTCGCAGAATGTCCAGTGATTCCAAACGTTAATCTCTTGTTATTTAATATCATATTTCAATGGTTTAATAATTTTCACACTTTTAAACAATCAACAGTTAAATTTAGTTTAATTAGATTATTACAATTTGTATGATTATTTGTCGAATATTATGTCAAAAGATAGTTTGCCAAGTATTTTTTTATCATGGCAGGCGATTCACGCGTTAGTTTAGGAACGCTTATTGCAAATAAATCACGTGTTTTCTACCCGACTGTTATGGATATATTTTAATACTGTATCATGTGGAGACAACCATCCGTTACAAAACCAGATACCTACAAAATAACAGTATCCAGGTAAAAAAAAATCACGAGTCACACATACTCACACTTGTATACAAGTTCAGCGCTCAGTACGTTCCGGTGGCTACTATACTTTGGTTTAGATTGGATGACAACAGTTTGTAACCGTCATGAAGTTCTTATGGTCAACTTTGATGTTATCTGGATTTTTGGTAAGTCTTTGGCCGATAGTCATTTGTAATTTTTATCTACCGTATTGACCTATTTTTTAATTTTTCTACACTAAACCTTTTCTCTATCACAACATCAACGATCATAGGGTATGTAATGTAATTAAAAACCAGCTCACATTGTACAAAATGCAATATTTATGCGCAATAAGCTGACTTATTCAACAACACTGTTTTAATTTGTCTAATCTATTATACACTATTTTTCTTATAATAATCTATAAGTATTAATCCATGTTATTTATACTAGTTTTGTTACCAAATTTATAATATTTTATATGTCAAGTTCATTTGAATTAAATATAATTGAACTGTATTATATAATACACAACATTTTACTGAAAATACTATACGTTAAAAGAAATGAGACATTAATTTAACATTAAGATTATTTGCATGAAAATACAGTATTTGACTGTCAGAGACAGTTGAAGAATGCGACCACAACTAAATTTGTATGGCCTATACGACTTCGTACAGATAGTTGTTTTTTAAATGTATTACCTTTATAGGTAGCACAGTCAAACAAAACACTAATATTTAGCAATATAATTATGTTTCAATGACCTTACGTGAAAACAATATGATATTATAGTGACGGTATAATATTCAAACCTCAAAAATATATTTTCAACAAAAGTAAAAAAAATAAAAACTATAAACAATGAAAATTTAAAAAAATAAAAAAACACTTAAAACGGTACCGCAACCGTTTTATTATAAGTAAAAAACAAATAAAAATTATACTATTATGTAATATGAAATGAATATAAAGGAAAAGACATTTTTGCTCTTTTTTTTCTTTTAAGGTTCAATAGCATGTACTGATTATTTTTTGTTTGTAATTTAGTACATTAATCAATAATTTATATATTTTACACGTTTTTATATCTTTACATTAGTAACTATAAAATTATAATTTTTTGTACACAAAAAAAAAGCAATAATACCTTAAAAATAAACCAGTTACCAGTATACAGGGTGATCATTTTATCGTGAACCACTCAATATCTCATTGGGTCTAATTAATATACATTTTTTTCATAGTGTTCTTTTATAATGTGACCTTAATTTTCCAAAATTTGTATGTTTCTACCTCCCTCCTAACTAATTATGTGTATACCAACTTTTAAAACTTAAATGATAACGCATAAATTGAATTAACTTTTTAAATTGAGAATAATATACTAAAAATGTTGACTGGTCGACAACCAGTTTTTGATAACTATATTTGAAGTTATTGAAGTTTCAAATTTAGGTCAGGAGGAAAAGTGGAGTGTAGTATTATTTTTATCTGCATGCACTTCCCAACCGCACTTTCCCTCCCGTCCTAATTTTTAAGCTCTTATAACTTCCAACCAGTCAACATTTTTAGTGAAATATTTTTAATTAAAAAAGTTAATAAAATATATACGTTACCTTTTAAGTTTCAAAAGTTAATATATAATTAGTTTGAGAGGGGGTGAAAACAGAAAAAATTGTAAAAATTGAGATCACATTATAAAAAAACACTATGAAAAAAAAAATTAAATTTCTTATTACACCGTATGAGATATTGAGTGGTTCACGATAAAATTATCACCCTGTATAGAGGAGTCGGGGCGGTCATTGATCTTTGGGAATTAATGTCCACAGTATTAAATTGTTTTAAGGTAAACGTGTTATAAGGTTTTTTTGTAGTTCCAAATTTTCAAACCCAATGTCCAAAAATAAATTAAAAAAAGACAAAAGTTTCCACTTCTTTGCTAGGGGGAAGTGCTTATAATGATTTTTAACTGAATAGTGTAATTTATACTTTAAAATTTGAATACGGCACATACATTTTATTTTTATTACTAATTCAGTTATTTTACATATACATAGTTGTAACGTTTAAAATCGAAAATTTGATCAATCATGTGGGGTAATATTTTTTTTTATTATTTCAAAACGGACAATGTGAAATTTTTCAACATATAATGAATATGTTAATATTATATTAATAAAACGTTTGATGTACGATATGGGAGCAGACAAAAATTTAATTTTTACTATTTTATTTGTGTACAGGTTGGGTTAGGTTTTTTTACAGTGATTTTTGACAAGTCATGCTAATGCCTGTAATCTTGTGACTACTCCGACAGCCTTTACTGGACAGTCATTTTATTATACTTTACATCAATATAACTTTATAAATTAACTTTTTTTTCTTTGTCATACTTAAGTCGGTACCGTGTCTTCGTGCGGCGTCACTGCACCGGAAAAGCGAATTTGTACAATTGGACGAGCCGCTTTTAGATCGCATTCAACAGACGACCGAAGAGATAGTGAGGAATTCGACGATAGAATTTGTCGATCACGAAACCCAAACCATGATCGATTTGTTTGTTAATAATTTGAAAATCTTAGTCGAAGATGTACGGTATTATATTATCGTCATAGTCGTTATCGTTTTATCTAATCTAGATAAGATTTAAAACAATTAATATGTCGTTTCTACAGCTCAAACGCAACTCGAGTATGGAGAACATTACTGACGTCGGTGACGTTCGGATGAAGGAGATGCAGAAAAGAGGATTGACTATGTTCGAAAATACAGTTATCACCATAGACTACATTGTTTCTAAAATAAACGTTTTAAACAAATCCGTCGAAGAGCTGGAACAGTTCGACAAGTACATCGTAGACGAGACAAAAGTAAATCTAAGTGTCTATATGATTACACATAATTTTATATTATAAATTTTATAATTAGAATTTTGAATGATTTCACGTAAAACCAGTTACATAACCAAAGTTAAAATATATTTACTTTAACATAAAATTATATTTAAAAAATAAAGGTTAAATGTAGGTGTAGCTTCTAGTTTTACTTTTTTTTAATAAAAGGCAATGGACGAATTCAACCCGTACTTAAAGTTGTATTACCTATACTGAAGTTGTATTTTTTCTAATATAATCTATAGTAAAAAATATGTCCTTTTCTTGCCTGCTGGTTCAAATATAATTAATTTGGGGCAGGGGTGTGGGGAGTTGGAGGCTCATATACTAAAATAAGTTAACAAAATATAGTGTTAAATTTGGTTACTACATTTTTAGTGGCTTTAAACTAAGTTGGGGAGGGGGGGATTAATCCTCCAAACCAATAGCAAAATGAGTGGCATTTATAGGAGAAAGCGGTCAATGGACCAATGAAAAAAATCAATACATTTTAAGATTTAAAATGATTAATGGATAATTTGTGCCACTGTTCGTATGTAGATAGAAATATCAAATATCTAAATCGATCTGTTTTAAAAATAGTCTAGCATTAATATTATACTTAATGCTTGTAAATAATTTTAAAAATGTAATGTGTTCGTTTAGCGATTGGATGAAAGTTCTGGCGAAGTTTTAAAAAAAAAATCGTCAATGGTTTCGGACAAAATCAAAATGTCGAAAAGGTTCATCGAGAAACACATCGACCGCTTAAAAGAAGGCAACGTGGTCCTTAAGGGCATCGGAAAAGACATGATGGCGGCGTTGAAAGTCCACGATATCTACGATTTATATAGGTTGATTTTACAATGGAGTAAAATGAATTAGAAGGAACCAATCGTCCGTCCTACTAACAAGCGAAAATATTAATCTAGGTACAAATTATTTATTTATTACTATGAACAACTAATCATTTCACTATATAATTTTTAAAAATCAAAGTGCTAAACAAAAATTGCACATTAAATTGTACTTTTAATATTCATATTTTTTCATCATTATACATGTACGAATGATGGATAATAAAACATTTATTTTTGTCACTATGATAACAAGCTTTATTTTTAAGGATTTTGCAGTTACAGTTTATGTAATATAATGGCATTGTGTTATTTGAAATAAATAACGATACTATAGTGTAACCCTACACTGCATACTAGTGCGCATATTGTATGCATTGTGTACTTAAACTCAAATTTTATGATCGAAAAATATATACTTTCTAATTCTATGTTTTATGTTTTTTTCTTAAACAAAACTATGTAGTGTAGGGTTAATAAATTACTATTATGAAGTTTTACTATTTATTAGGCAGCCAAATATACACGTGTGTACAACGAAGTTACTTGGAGATTCGATGACCTCTTTTAGGGGTTATTTCAAACAACCTGGTGATATGTAATTCAAACATATTTTTGTTATAGGAAATGTACATATATAATAATTAGTATCACTAAAATGCTCGTTACACGAATATTGTTGTCCATGGAGTAATAATAACCTTTGTTCCATTCCAAAAGTTATAGTTAATAATGAGTACAAATGACTTAAATGCAACAAAATATTTCCGACAAAAAAACACCTCGACCTTAATATGATCCTTCACTTAACTACGATGGCGTTTTTACCTATTTGGTGTCAAATTAAAATAGTTAGTTTTTAGTAAAAAAAAAAAAAAGGAAATTAAGCAAGTGTGCAAGTTATCAAGTAATTGTAATTAATTTTACTATACTCCAAGATTTTGCCACAAAAACCAAAATTCGATTTTAATTTTCTCGCTGAATCTGAATCTGGTCCGAGGTATTCTCTAACACGTCTAGTTATTTAAGCCGTCTCCAAAAATACAAACAATACCGTTAGTGGCTATTTTAAGCGGATTCTGTGCACTTAAATAATTTTAAGGGGGTAAGGCTGGGAACCTATTTTCATTCCCGTCTGTATAGCACCAACCCGGAGATACCTCACCGGTTGATAGTGAATATATATATTTTAAATGAATACCGTAGTTGGGCACAAAACTCTTTCAGACCTTTTCGTACCTTCTCACAAAACCAAGGAATGAGTAAAATTGTTATGCGTGAACTTACACAGCCATAGGTTGTAGTTGGACACAATTTCATTGATTGACAAATACAAACTAAAATAACGTTTATACGAACAAACGATTATATTAATGAGCATTTAATTAGAACAAATATTCAAAAAATGCCTAACTCGGATAGTAGTAAGGATGAACTTGGTAAACCTCGATTATTATTTTCCCAAACTATTTATAGTTATCTTTAGGAAGTAGAAACTATATACTTGTATTAGTTTACGCTGTGAACATACGTGTTTTAAATTTTTTTTTTTTTTGTTAAATAGCCTTTATTATATAATATGATGGCTCATTTATAGGTATTATATCAAACAATACAAGCTTGTAATAGAAATACTATTGAAGTGCCCTTCACGTCTAACAAGTCAAACTTACGCTTACAACCAGGCTGACGATAAAATCTTGTCTTTTGCATATTATTAAATAAATTTGTGATATAATTATGTCCTTCGGTTTGTGAATCGTAAGAGAAAATAATATGTCGTAGCCAGATGAAATAAAAGTATGACACACAAAAGGGCTTTGCTTACACAAAAAAAAAATGCACGGTTTGTGTGATTATGTCAGCTCTATTTTCGGTTGCTAATGGTTTTGACAGGATTTACATTATCATCTTATGTTTTCTTATATAAAGCTTAATAAAAATACCCATTTTCATGTTGAGCTCCAACCACTTTTTTTCGTTTCTTAATGCAGTATAATATGTTATATTTCGTAATTTTCAATACTATATGATACTTACATCTACATAGTATTATAAAATCAGTGATATTATGCTTATTAGTAAATTAATAGCTTAATTTCTGGTAAGTCATCTAACAACACTCAGCTAATTTTTTAATAACATATTACAGCCGAGTAATGTTGAAATTCCTGCTATTATATTTTTTTTAAGTAGCTGATCAATGGACTCTAAAGAAGAACAATAAGCGGTACTAACAAAATGTTAAATTAAAAAAAAATGCACTCACATTTTTAATTCCAGCCACTTTAAAAAATAAAAATGTATTCGAAAAAACAGTAATATAACTCATCTCTACAATTTATATTAAAATATTTTAACAAAATAATTAAGTTTATCCTTTTTTTAATCAAAAATTTGGTACGAAGTTTTATAAGACTAACATTGTTCAAAATTGTACAATAATTATTTATACCATTGTTATATAAATGTCTGTGTATATAAATATACATTTTTTCATCTATTTTTACAACCATGATTTTTTTATATAATAATAATATCAAGTGAAAAACTTGATATGACAAAACTTATCACTCATAATAAATATACATGAGTATATATGAATATATATGAATGAATATGAAAACTTATCACTCATAATAAATATGTATGAATATATATGAATATATATATATACATATATATAGTTATAGTGATTAATGGATAAAAATTATGTGACTTCTAATTATTTCAAATGCGTATTTTTAAAAGTATTTTGTTTCAAAACATTAAATATTTGTAGTTAATTGAAATTAAAATTGTCCTAAAAAATATTATTTAAATTACATTTTCTCTATACAAATGAATGTTAGCGATAATAAAAAAATATAAAATGATAAAATAATTTTAATTAATGAATACATTTTGTTTTTATCTTAAAATGACGAATCGTTATGCAATCGTTTTTTGTATAAATTCATTAGTTCCTCGAGTCAAACGTTATTTTTACGTTAGTTTACTTCGGACATGACGTGTTCAGTGATATAATGTTATAGCCAACAACAGCAGTGGCATGTCAGGAATCTCCTTAAATTGTCTGCGGTGTTTTGTGTACGTTCTCATGTTATTACGCTGTTCGCAATGTATCCGGATATTAGCTATTGCACCTTTTCCTACTAAAAGCAACTGGTCTTTCATGACGGCTGTGCTCCATTCGTTAACCGACCAAGATCACATTGTAACCGTATTCACTCCATTTTTAAACGGCAACTATGCGAATTATACCGAAATTGATATTTCTGGCAACCGTCAATGGACGCAAGTGGATATGGATCTCTCAAAACGTGTCAAAGATATAGGAAACTTACAAAATTTAGCAATCAATTCAATGAAATTAAACACCCAAATTTGCGACGAATTTTATGCCAACGACAAATTGAGAGAAATTATTATCGCCGCATCGTCACTGAGGAATACTGAACAATTCGATGTGATATTGGCTCAAACCTTAAGTTCGGATTGTTTGTCATGTATAGCCAGGATTCTAAATCTGCCGTTAATAAATGTACATGCAGCACCTTCACTGGCATTTGAGTCGCCGTTCGTGGGAGAAGAACCCAACCCTGCTTACGTGACAACTGTATTGTCACCATTAGGCACGCCAAAATCATTCCAAGAACGCGTTCTAAACTCAGCAATCGCCTTCCAAAGTAAGTTTTACTTTTGGTTTGCGGAGGCAATGGCCAAGAAGTTGTCTCCTAAACCGTATGATCTCATCGAACCAGTTAATCCATCCGCTATGTTCATCAACAGCCATTTAGCCATTGAACCGGCTAGACCAAACGTGCCTAATGTTATTAATATCGGCGGAATACATCTGAGTGGGCCAAAAGCAATACCGAAAGTAAGTAATGTATTAAGGATGTCGTTTTATAAGGAATTCAAATTTTTGTAAAATTAAATAAACTATTTTGACTATTAAAAATACTAATTAAATACAGAAAAGAACATACTTAGATAGATATTTTTCGTAATAGCCGATCAGGTGCTCTGGAATAACGAAGGACTTTTATTTATTTATTTAACGTCGACTCAGAGAATGGAGTAACACTTTTTTATTGTGATTCATGTCTTTCGATATTTCAGGATGTACTTGATTTTATTGAAAATTCGCCGAACGGAGTGATATACTTATCGTTTGGATCGACAATAGCTATGTCAAAATTACCGGAACGCATACAAAAATCATTTAAGCTAGCCCTTGGACAACTACCTCAGAGAATATTATGGAAATTTGAAAGTGAAATGGAAGACAAACCGGATAATGTTATGACGAAAAAATGGTTTCCTCAACGTGATATACTTGGTATAAACAAAATGGCTCTTTATACCAATAGTCAATCACTACTAATTTACATTCATATAACATATTATGTTATTTATTTTTCAGTACATCCAAATGTAGTATTATTTATTGGGCATGGTGGAATAGCGGGAATATACGAAGCAATTGATGCTGGAGTACCGATGCTAGGTTTCCCTATGGTCTTAGATCAACCAAGGAATTTGGCAAATCTCGGAGCAGCTGGAATGGCTATTTCATTACAATTAATGAGTGTTACTGAAACTCAAATTTTGAACTCTGTGCACGAGCTCATAAACAATGAAATGTAAGTACTCTTAAATAATAATTTTGTAAGAATATTGTTCTACAAAATCATTTAAAACTCAAGTTTTTAATTTTTTATTAAAAACAAAATGTTTTTTTTATTTTCTTAATTAATAGTTGTAAGTATGAAATTATCTTTAGCTTAAATTTTACGCTCCCTCTCACTTGCTTATTAGTTTGCACCCCTGGCAGTTGCCCCTTGTTACCCCAACGGTACCCCTGGCTTATAGATAGAGCAAGCTCCAAAGGAAATAAACTGTTTTTACAAACTTTTTACTACATGCCTTGTCAGTTTTTGATAAGGTGGAAAATAATCTCGGGTTATCAATTAATCAGATAATAAACTATGTATTTATCTGTTTTAATTTAGTTGTTACTAAATGGTGAAAACGTTTTGAATAATATTAATGTACATATTTTTTTAGGTATTCACGTAACGCCAAAACTGTTTCTGAACTATTTAAGGACCGCCCTATGTCACCACAAAAATCAGTTGTCTATTGGACAGAATACGTAGCTCGTCATAACCATAAAAAGTCGCCTTATTTGAAGTCTGAAGCCTTTGACTTAACTTGGTATGAAATATTGTTGCTAGATATTTTTCTTGCATGTTTGATAACTTTGATATTTGTCACTTATTTGTTTTGTAAGTGTCTTACTTTAAGACGTTAGCAAGCAACGACATATTTATGTTACTCTTATTTTGGTTATGCAATTATGTAATATTATAAAGGTTGATTTTTTTAGGTAGGTGGGAATATTATGTAATAAACTATTAAAATATTTTCAGATAAATAATCGATTCCCTCGATATCATATATTGTATTCTATAAAAACTATAATGAATATTGTTTATAATTATTAAAACACATTTTTATAAAAGTATTTATTAATTATTTTTTTGAGTAACTTATCATCTCAAGAAGTTAAAGACTGCTGTTTGTTATTCAACAATGAAAAGATGACAGAGTTATTAATAATGAAATACTAAAAATTAAATGTGTATTACGAATGTATTATAACGAATGTTAATGAATTTGTTAAATAATAAATTGCGTATGCTTAGGAAAGTACATAATTTATATATTTTTAAGTTTTTTTTTTAAATTTATTTAAAGAATTATTATCATTTTATGAATTGTGGACGGTAGTCGTAGGGAAAATGCCACAACAGTCTTAACTCTTATATTATAATAAGAATTATTATATTTTATTACAATATTTTATCGTACCAACAATATTTACGTTGAGATCAATAACCATACAATATTGTTTCGGTTATTTGAGTGCAATCGCTCATTATTATAATCTCTTAAAATCAAAAACCCGTTGTGCGTTTACGTCATCAGAATAAAATAATATTGGATACCTTCGGGTAGCTTGACAAGTATGTAATCAGTAATAAGTGTCTGTCTGCTATAAATAGGTTTTTTTGTGCTACGGAAAAACTAATGAACATGTTTATCAATTCCATACCGTTACAAGACGTGTAGTAGCTTTAAAAACCATTGGAATACCAATGACACCGATCGTCGTAATCAGAGCTGCAGTTACTGTCAACTCGAGCGCTGACCATTCCATAAACGCATAAGCTCTTCCACTCTCAATCGAATTTGAAACCATCGAAAAATAAAGCAGCCCAAAATGAACGTTAACACAAATATCCTCGTCGTACTCGTAGCCTTATTTTACACAACACAGGTAATTGCATTTTATAATTTTTTTTCTTCAAAGTGATCTATCTATAAGTTAAAAGTCAAATGTTTTGGTCTACAATATTATGAAATTGCGGTAGATTATAATATCAACATGTCGGTACTACGTCGCAACAACTCAAAAATACAAGGCTGGGCAATAATCATGTTTTAACTAGTTTAAATTGAGTTAAATTAAAAATAAATCTTATGTAGAAAAGTTTCAATTAATTTGGAAATTAATGTTAGCTATAAAGTTCGTATTAAAGGTAAACCCAACTTTTCTACATGCGATAACATTTTATAATGATATTTCGGTTTTTTAAAAATGTTACATAAATTTAGGAAATTTCACTTCATCTTCCGTCTCGGTCTGTACTATTTTATAATATGAAGTTTTTAAACCTTACCTAACTAGATTTAATACTTGCAACACTTTTGTTCTAAACAATTTTTATTCTATAGTTTTGTGCAAACATATTAATCTAGGTAAGTTATTAACTTTTCGGAGTTACTTTGTTGTTTTATAAAACAAACTCATCAAGTTAAAGTTTGGAAAAGTATGCTAACTTTCTAACGCCTAGCCTATTAAAATTAATTACATGTCCAATGTGTTTAGTTCATTGTAGGTTTTTTATATTTAATAGATTTTTATTAATTTTGTCAAACCTGATAAAGACATGGTCAAAACTGCCAATGAGCGAATAATACATTTTAATAAGATTCAGCCTAAAATATCAATAATTTTAAACACAATTGTCTGTGTACAAACTTGACTTCCTGTACAATTGAATTAGACTTCAATAAGTCTCATAAATAACATACTTAATTTGTAGATAATTTAAGGATTAAATGCTTGTTAATCTATTTTTTTGGACATAATATTCTTGATAGAAATACTTTTAGTACACATGTGTCTTCATTCTTTTTAACCGTTTTATTATGTTGGTCTTATTAGTTTGAATCAAAGTTTATGTCAATCGTCCAATGCCCATTGTATGTATACAGGTTTGAGGTTTCTTCTTATTAAACTTATATTTGTATTATAACAATATTTTTATTCAAGGCCAAATTAAATACATATGTGGTGCATTTTGGTCGTAAACTAGTAGAAAAAAAATTAATTTATAATCATAATCAACTCGTTTCGCTGGAATATCTTTAAAATTAAATTATATTTTGATTTATATTATGTTATATTTAATATTTTTAATATATGTATGTACATTATTTTTTCATTTCCTGTCAAAATATGATATTAAAATATTGTAGCAATTATTTTACTATTTTATCATTTTTAAATATATTTTTTATGTTTATCTTAGGTTTGTTGAGAAATATTAGATATATACAGGGTCCGGCAGAAAGGTCTCCCTGATTTTGGTGACGTGTTGCTTTAGGTGTGAAGGGGGTACAGTAGTGGGGACCACGGCTTTGTTTTTGTTGAGACATGCCTGTAGCTTTGTAATTAATTACAACACTTGATCTCCTTCCAAAATATGATCCAAAATAATTTTGACAATGTTAGTAAATATTGTTATAGTATTTAAATGCTATGTTGGTTGTACATAATATATATTAATAATTTATAAAATACACTAATATACATTATACCTACATATTCGGATTAAAATACCTAAAATTAAAATACTCTACGAGAAACCCAGACCAATTCACCAATATATACCATACGAACAATAATAACTATGACTGTAGTAATCATGTAATTTTAAATTTAAGACAAATGATTTGTTTACGTTCGGCAAATTTTTATATTCTAGGCAAAACCATTTACATCAGACCAATCAGACTTGCGTCGGTTATTCGAACAACTGCAAGACAGCACGATTAACCTGAAAGAAAAACTATTCCGGTCGGATTTCCAAAAAGGAGTAGACAAGTTGGTGGATAAGATCAAAGAACCCTTGAGTGAGGTAAATTGATAAATTTGTTGGTTTTTTTTAATTTTTTGGCTATAAATGAATAAAACTGTTTGCTTACCAATACATTGTAGATTGATGATTTGATGCAAAAATGGAGAAATCGAGTTTTCGGTCAACCCGATGCCAAGTTAACAGAATTAGTCGACAACTGGAGAGCCGGTGCAAAAGATGCGTTTAATAATAGTGTTAAAATACTCAACAGTAACGTAGAAAAAATCGTCGATACCAAACTACAAGACAAATTCAAAAACGCCGTAGACAGCGCTGTCGATATTTTGAAAAAAACCGAAGTAAGATCTCATTAGTCATTTGTCGTTTAAGTACAGTTGTCATTTAAAAATATATTTACCGGATATTTTATAACATACTTTGTACAAAGTCATTCAGTCGTTTATTTAAATCGTATTACTTATGGATAATAATGCTGATTAAAATCTAGTTAGCAAACCAATATAGTAATATTTCAAAAATATTTTATCATCATATTTTAGCTAGAAATGTATAAATACAGCAAACAAATTATATTATTTTCGAATTTCTGTAAAAAAACATGTTATTATAATATTTTTTAGTGATGTGTTTACATATAAATCAGTGTTTTTAAAATACTATTTACAATATTTAAATCGTTTTAAATAATTATATTTGGTAAAGAAACTGTCTAAATGATTAAATTTGGTTCCCAAAACATAATTAAAAAAAATTAAAAATGCTCGACAAAATTATGAAAATGTTAAATCTTTTACTATTTTAGGCAAGGTTTTCTAAAAAATATTAGTACCTATTTGAATTACTTAAACGATTAATATATTTGTATTTATGAAATAAATGATTTTATTTATAAAACCTTTTTTTGTTTTCAGAATGATATCTTGAAATACGCTGGCAAGAAAGATTATCGATAATTAAGCCTGTGTATGGATGCCGAATTAAATTTTAATAAAATGTACTAATCCTATTTTTTTTTATGCCAATTTATAACATGAATCCATTTGATGTTTTACTATAAGTATTACTTATTTTGTAATGAAGTGACAATTTTTTTCTAACATGTTTGTAATGATTGTCCTAATATTAAATATTACCTATTATTCATAAGTAATTTTTACATTTTTTTCTAGTAATATATCTTATTTTATACAATTAAAATTGTATGGTAGTAAGAATATTATTTTTTTAATTTATCGACTTATTTATATTCAATAACAATATTTTTTTAACACACATTATATTACTGTAAGGCACAATCTTGTATTATATTATTATCTATATACAATCCGAATTATGATTTATGATGATAAACTTTTTTCTCGTTTTTATCTAGTTCCTATAAATGTTCTAAACAATTATATAATATCATCCAAATGTATAAAATACATATATAAATCTATGTTAACGATGTGTTACGTGGGATCAAAATTGGTCAAAGGTGAACATACTGTTTTGGTTTTATCAAAAAGTAAAAAAACCGCATTACTATCCTATTGGCATTACATCGCTATTGTGTATCATAACTGTTCAACTGTGTCTCAAGTCAATTATAATATGTAATTTTAAATTAAAGGTCTGTATGTTTATATTGCCTATATGATGTGTCGATTGAAAACCTGCATTGATGGCAGTTTGCTAATAAAGTTGTATCTGTTTTTATACAATAATTATTATCAATGCAAACTTCTTATACTTGTATGCATTCTCTAAAAATAAATATTGTGTAGAGCATACGTACCATATCATAATAGTATCGATAGATTTCTGGAATGTTAACAAACATTAAAAATATCATTCTGTGTACACATATAATAATAGTAAATAAAATGCGCCAATAAGGACATATAAGAATTCCTAGAAAAAATCGAAAATTATTATTAGAACAAAGGAATGAACATTTCAATGTAATAAAAAACAAATATTATATAACTGCAATGATTGTAAAAAATTTTTTAAATATTTTTATAATCCTAAATAGCTGGGAAATTACATAAAAAATGAACTGATAATTAAAAGTGCCTTATTTAAGCGTTCTTCACACCTTTTTATCTTATCACCCAGGCCTAGTTTAGACATTTTGAACCATAAGAAAAAATACTCTTGGGAGAGCCTCTTGCAACCTTCCTATAAATTAAATAAATACCAATGATAATAAATAATTTTTTTTTCCCGAAAAATATTTAAAATGTTTAATTTATATCATCACAGCTGACCTATAAAAGTACATGCCACATTTCTAATTACAAGTTGCGACTATTGTTTGTTTTTTATTATTTGCAAATATATTTATTTTTTTAGTTACGAAATAAAATAGTTAGCTCTATTATTCTCATAGACCATAGTTATAGTGTATTATATATGTTACAATATGTTATAGTGATAATATGTTGTAGAACATATTGTCATGACAAAATAATAACATTTCTACGAATCGGAATGTTGTTGTTTACATTTTCGCTTGATGAATTACAAAAATAGGAAATAATTATGCAAATTTCTCCAAACTTGGGTTTTGAACGTTGTTTACATGGTATTGTGCTAATCAACAGACCGATTTACCTATAATGTGTAGGTACACAATGTACACTGTACTTGTTTTTTTTTATAAAACATGCTGTCATACAGTGCTCATATATATATGTTTAATGTTACAGTACGTTTACTTGTATGAAAATAATCCGTTGTACTTAAAAAAACTCTCTTGTCTGTTTAATTTAATTTTAAATGTATTTATAAGATCAGTCTGATTAGCTACAATTTTAGATGTAGCCTGTATTAAGACAGGCTTTATAAGAATCATCAATTGATGTGTTTACTTTTGAAATTGGGCCAAAATGCTAAAAAAAAATATATATAAGTTTGTTTTGGTAATTGTACTTTATAGACTACAAATTACAGTAGTCGGGATAAAACAAAAGGCAAATTGTTATAGTTTAGTCGTGTGCCTTGGGCACATATCAGTCTTCTGTTCTTGACTAGTATTAAATGATAATAATATGCTGTTATATTTCTATTTCCATTTTTTTTTTTTGAAATAACATTTCATTAAACGGTTAAAACGAATAACGTGCAATGAGTTATGGACTTGATAAAATTAATCATTATCGAACTAGAAGCTACGCGTTGGATGGCAATTTCACCTGACTCAATATAATTCCAATATTATACATGTATGGGAGGAGCTTGTAATGCAATTGTTCTAAACTTGAATTCAGAAGATATTAAAAATTGCACTCATGCATACCATTGTAATTATCTATTTATTGTGGTCATGATAAAATATTAATGATTATTATTATTTTCTTGTTATTCGCATTGATTTCATTACACGTGACCTATTAATTTACATAATAAGCTAATATGAAGACAAAAACACTAATGACGCTATTCGTTTTGATACCGTTGCTCGAACAAGTAAGTACTGTTTTTGTCTTTCCATAAATCGTGTGTTAATTGATATTTTTGATCACATTAACCCCTACAGGCTTGGTCCGGAAGACCAACAGATCCCAAAATTCATTTGGCCGCAGCTCTAAACAGAATCAATCACGACTTACTGAAAGTCGGTCATCATGTGGTCACCAGCGCGGCCAAAATTCTTACATCCAAGGAAGTACAACAAGTAATGTAATGCGTTTGTGTTATTTTATTTTAGGTACGAGTAATAACCTCATCGAATTCAGTATATAATTTTAGGATTTGCCTATTTACTATATTAATATGTTTTTATGATTGCCCTATTAAAGTAATCATAAAGTAATGACCCATATACGTAACGATCCCCAAAAACCTCAATCACTCCTCTTTTTTAGTTACATTCCAAAAAAAAATCAACTCACTTATTGTCATTTATTGTTATTTCAAAAATCATTCAATAAAATTTTGCATAAGCAATTTTGTACTCGGATATTTATTGAATTGCTATTTTATAGTAAACCGTTTAATCTAAAATTTGTTTCAGATAATTAAGAAAACCAACATACTGCTAGTCAACGTACTCAAGAGTTTGAGCACACATACGAAGCAACATTTAAGACAAAAATCTGTTGTTTTACTACGAACGTTTTCAAAACTTCACGAACTTGGTTTGCACGATGTTCGGAAAGGATTGCATATTGCAAAAGGAAAATGGACAAAAGACTCTTCGAACAGATTAATTGTGACTAACATTAACACTCTTTCGGATGTACTTAAAGTGAGTAATAAACAAACATTTTGTTTATTTATCATAACAAGTGCTAGATAGTGTCAATAGTGGGCATCTTTTTCTTTTTTTTTTAACAGGATTTAACAGACGTCATTCAACCGTTGAATAGAGGAATACAAGGAAATAACAAAAATATTAACTATGTTTTTAAACCTTATCAAAATCCTAAAAAAAAATTATCTTCTTTAATGGGTTATACTTAACAACGATGTAACACCAAGAAAACCTTTTAAGAACATCGTACAACGTGTAAGCTTGTTTTGTTCAATACTTTTTTTATATAATACAAGTAAAGTTTCAACTCGATTATTAAAACGACAATTTACAATATTCTTTGCAATCATATGTTCTCCTGTAAATACAGTTTTTTTTTAATATTATCCACACTATATCCAAGTTGATTAGAATGTAAACCATATATTTTTTTAAATCTACAATTGTCAATATTTTCATACAATGAATTGCATGAGTCCTAGATAGCATTAATGTTGTTTTATAAAACAAGTTTATGACCTCTAGTCTCTAGCTACGATAATAAAGGGTACACGAGAAAATTAGTGTTTTTCAAGTTCCTCGACAGTAAAAATAAAACATGTATTATGTTTAAAAATCCGAGGAAAACGTAAACAGTTATAAGTAGTAGAATTATAATTTACTTATCACGCTTTTGATGAAACCGTTCGTGACATCGTAGATCCTTCCGATGGTTAATCAACAAAGTTCTTACTAGACAACAATGATAACACGTATTCGTTTAAATAGTTACACAACTTTATTGTACTTCAAGTAAGTAAGTAAGTACACGCTGAACATTCTTTTTGTAGTTTTGAACGATGCTCGCAGACGGCCGTTGGTATACGAATAATACAAAATAACGTAAATACTGGTTAATGACAATTTTCTTGCGCGAATAGTTGAGATCCGATTTTTCTTTCTGAAAAGTTGTTTGGACAGATTCACTATACACGGCGTTGGCATTTGCGCGTCTATGGTGGATACGACAAACTTGATGAATGCACTGCGAAATTAATCTTCATCGACTTAGAGGCCGGCCCGCCAGAAGACTTTCTAAAAGTTGACGAAGGCGTACCGCCGAAGACGAGACGGCGGCTTTTTCCACCACATAAGAAGCGGTAATTAAAAGTTATTTTCATACTGCGGATGATTCTATTAAATGATAACGACGAAAGACCGAAAACGCGGAATGTCTTATGGCGAACTCCTTTCCTTTTTTTGACAAAAGACCTTTTGTCGATCTCCGACGAACGGCGGCGACCCGATTAAATAAAACCCAAAAGCCTCATCGTCATTATTATTATTGCGCTTAAGATGCGCACAAGTGGAATTCATCATAATATTCCGGCTTCGGCACAAGTCCCTAGAGATTGTACGTCAAAGAGCCACCATAAGAGGGCAATGGGAATTCGTTTTCAAAAAGTTTCGAGACGGTGGTATTCATTAGCGGAATATTTTAATTGGAAGGGGACCCGGGCAAAATACCCGACCCGAGTACAAAAATACAAGAGGTTGTCCGGATTTTCTATGGATCAAAACGCAGACCACATATTTTTACCATAAGCCAAAATATACCGTCGCACGTCTACTTATGTTTTGCATTTCGCTACTTTGTATTTTTTTCTCGAGATACATCATGCCGTAATGTATATACTATTACGTTTATTTATTTTGCATAAATCGATAGGACCGCTGAGCCGTACACAATAAACTCGACAACTGCCGTCTCTTTCTCTCTCTCTTTTTATATATTAACATATTATACATGCCATCTAAAGATATTCAACACTTGAAATGCGCTTTTCAACGCTATGTAATACGACAAATTCGTTGGTGCGAAAGAAAACCTTCTTGCACCCTCTTCGTGCGCGCCAGCCTTTTTATAATAATCTGAGAAAATGCTGAATACATACACGACACGGTATTGGATAAACGTACAATACGCGTCCGTGCAACGTCTGTTGTACCTAAAGTCGGCCAATAAAGTACTTGGACAATAAGTGCGATAAATGCGTTTGTCACTTAAAAAAAAGAAAGTTGAGAACATTTTACACAAAATGTGCAAATTTAAAATTTGGTTTTCATTAATCTATAACAACTGTGAATATGTGTGTAAGTCGATTTCAGTGATTTTACGGGGGAGCGATTTTAAACTGACCAGCTGCCATAAATCTGCATGTAATAATCAGGAACTCGCATCTCTCTCAAGGTTTTCTTGTTGGTCCAACGAGTTGGACATTCATTTAAAGTGTGCTAGGCGCTTCGGATTACATCCTAGCGTACTTAGTCAATTTTTACCGAAATTCTACTTACACTCTTATTTACAGTTGTTACAGATATATGCTTAGAAAAAACAAATAAAAGAACTCATAGAAAAGTCGAAAAAACGGAAAATTATCTTATTTTTATACACAACTATTTCAACTATTTCTGTTACTATGGTACTTTGTTCCCGTTTTTTAGCTTTTCTAAGAATTTTCAAGCATGCGGTGTAAGTTTCAAAAAGTTTCACGGTGGGGTGCTCCAAAAGTACATTCGTATTTGGCGTTTTTGCCAATCTATATATATATAAAGTAGTTTTCATAATTCCGGTAGCCGTTCTAACGCTGTTTTATTTGGATAGCTTACATACATTCATTAGACCAACTCAAAAATATTAATGTGATTTAGAAGATAAAATTCTGGAGAGAATATCAAACGAACTTGTGCGATGCAGTTAATTCTGGCGGAAGTCAGACATTTTACAAACCAATTTGTTCACTAGACCTTTTCTGGACTAAGTGTACAAATGGATTATCATAATAAACAACGGTTACGTTTGTTATACGGATTTCATTAAAATGTTCTCAGTCATGTTTGGATATTTAAATGCATTTATCTGTGAATACACATAAGGAATGGAAACGTCTAATAACGTAGTCTACCGTCCTCGGTACTACGGCAAAAAATTGAAATTTTCCTCATAAATAATTAGCTAAACAAAGTAGTTTTTTTTTCAATTTTGTATAATTTACATTATGTCCGTTGACCAATAACAGTAATAAAATATGTAGTTTAACAAGTCAAGTAACATGACACACATGGTATTTAGAAAAAAATAAAATATAAATATAATTTCATCGATATAGTATTTGTATTTTTTGACAAGTGGCAACTATTGATTAATAATACAATCAATGCCCGAATATTTGCACTGACAACTGCAGTCGTACTTAATCTACTTCTTACTAAATTGTCAAATTGTTTCAAATCGTCTTTTTTTTAAAAATATATCTATAACAATGATTCAAAATATATGCACCTTATAACGTTTAAATAAATTCATTTATTTCATATATTATTTAATCTTATACATAAACAAAAATGTCTCATATTATATAATATATGTGTATTATATTCCTTTACCTTATTTAAACCTAGTGAACCCATTGGAAATAACAGATAATGTTAAAACTAAAAATACTAAAACCTTGCAAAAAAAAACTTTAAATAGTTTCGTTTCATTTATACATATCAACTACTGTAGAATGTAGATATTTGTATAAGATATTTTCATAGAAAGTTTAAAAGTTTTTAAAATAAGGCTGATTAAAATGTTAAAAGTACACAATACAAATAAAAGTACAATAAATGTGTTTTAGGTACCATCTATTTCCCAAGGTCTTACTAAATCCATGACAGCGACATTACAACCTTTTATTTGTTTCCGATCGTTAGTGAAGTACCACTTAAACTTGTACTTTCCATAAAAAAAAATTTTTGGCAAATTGGATTTTTCAAAATTTTTTGTATCATATTGGATTTTGTAAACGCCCTAAAAACATACGAAGTTACATTATTGATGCTGAAATCATTTATATTTTTTGTACAGATAAAATGAATTTTATAACTATAGGTACAAAATATATTCATTACCGAATACCATAACTAGAAAATTAAAAGCGAGCCGTGCCAAATTTTGTTGACACAATTTTTAGGGAATGTATTATTGCTGAGGAAATATGGTTTTTACAATGATGTGTTTTCATTGTTCATAAAGTTACGTTATTGTGACAAAAATGTAAAAAGTCAACCGCTTCCCCACCAAGATCATGAAAAAAAAATATATAGGAATTATTATAGCCAAATGATGAAATCACTTTAAAAAAAAACGCTTCAATGTAAATACTCAGACGACAAATCCTAATCGTGTCCACTATAGTCTATAATACTAAAAATACAATTTCAAGCACATAATTGCCTTTCCTATAACTATTATCGGTATTTGTGCCATCTAAATATAAATATATATAAATATTCGCATCGAAGCGTTTTTTTTTTTAGAGTGATTTCATTATTCGGCTATAATAATTCCTACAGTCCTGTAATTACATCGACCTCATTATGTTCCATCCTCACTATGCTCCGATTACACTGTATAGGACTTTCTAACAGCTTATTGTTTAATTTCCAAAAAAAGTAAAAACTATCATATTTTATATTTTACCCAAAAAATATATCAATGTTAAATACTGCGAAAAATCACAGAACAAACATTTTTCAAGGCAATATTATTATGTAAGACCAATGAAAATATTAATAAGGATAAACACACAAACCAAAAATCCAAGCATGGTATATACCTAATCCAGCAGTAGGTATATCAATTATAAACCCATCAGTATATCAGCATTAATAACAAAGTATAAACAAATTATGTATATTTTGATCTTAGTACAGTAAGAATGATGTGAATACTGGATCGGAATAGTCAATTTATGGCCATTATTTTCCAAGAAAACATTTCGGTGTATATCTGTGGACAGATCTACCTAATTATAAAACCTCATGAAATGTTGTTTTGGCATAAGCGCATAAATTAAAGAAACGCAGAAGGGAGAAAATAATGTAGCTGCTTAAATACACAAATTTCTAAAAATTAAAAAAAAAAACAGGATAATGTACCCATTTTATAAAAAAAAAAATCATTCACCCTTAAAATTGGGAAAAAATGTAGCAAATTTTTCATCTTTCCTTTTTTCTATCTATAAACTTGTGAGAAATTGTTGGATCGATTCGACATTCTTAGGTAATATTAACTAGACATTTTCTTTCCAAAGTTAAACATTTTCAAACCTTAAATCGTAAAATTATGGCTAAAAAATAGAAGAAAAAACCTTACTCCCCACGTTCCAGTAGGTACAATCTACAAAAACAAATTAAAAACAACGAATTTCATCTCAATAATTTTACCTTTTCAGCTAAGCGTCGAAGCTAAAGAAGAAGTGTAATCTTGTTGTTTTCGAATGGGGGGGGGACAATATTCCAAAAACTTAAACTTGATTTATAAATATCTAAGTGAGAATGAATTATTGGGAAATCCAAATAATGATAAATAAAATAACAGTCTATGTTATTCGAGATCAAATAATATGTATGCTACATCATTTTTTTATTTATTAGAATCGAATATATTGTTAGCATAGTTATATTTTTGTTCGAATATTTTAGGTAAAGATAATTTGTTTATTTTGTATTCGAAAAAATTATATTTATCCATTTGATTTGTTATAATAAAATGGGATTCAAAATTACTTGAAATAGTTATTAAAAGTTACATAACCAAGCTGATAGCTGTACATTATTCTATTTGACTTAATTAACTTTAATGTAGACATTATTAATAGGTTAACTTATACCTTCTCAATAGGGCATTTCATTTTATCAGTATTAAAAAAAACGTTAGCAGTATCTCCTAAAAGATGTAAAGCAGTCTTGCATCCTTTCTTTGTAGAATATACATAAGCATTATCTTTCCATCCGCCAATTTTATCCATTATTGCCATATTCACGTTAAACTATAATTAATAAATAAAATGTTTATAAATAATATTATTATATCGATTATACCATTTCCATTTAAATTAGGTACATTGATACCAATTTAAACACTTACGTCTAGATCATCAGTGATTGGTTCTAACAATGTTATATTGCCCACATATGCTGTTGTACGTGATGACATTTTACTTAAATGTATATTAGCATTAATTGTCTCATTGGTACTTGTTGGGTTGCATCTATATACAGCTCTAAAGATTAGTTTATACTCACCCTGAAATAATACATACTCCGTTTAGATAATTTGTTTAACTAATGCATAAAGTATAATACGAAAATCGGTATTTTCTAGTAATAATATTGCATGAGTAGTATTTTTAATTGCAATAGTAAATTATATATTTTGTATTTGTACGCCGGTAATTGTAATTTCGTTACAAGCATGATGAAAGCACAAGGTAATTTGAACAAACCCATATGTTTTTTTTATGTTTTTATGAACTACTATGATCATTAGCTAGGGCAAATAGTACTATTAAAAAAATGTTATATACTTTCATTGAGTATACATTGTATATACAATATATTATACTCAATGATACGTTTTTAAAATAGACTAAATTATTTATTTTACTAAATACGTACTGAAGGAAGATTAGGACGAAGCAATGGTTTTAAATTTAGATCACCATAAGAAAACGCCATTAACATTGTACAAATAAAAAACAGTATGACCATTGTCATCAAGTTATATCGATAACGTTGAAAAAACATCAATATTAATAGTAATTACAGAATATATTTAAGTGTAACAAACGCATTACGACTGAATAACATGTATTTTTTGTATAAAATGAAAAATATAATTTAACATGCATCACGAAGCATCATGCGGAAATGTGAAAAACCAACAATAAAATATTATGACTATTTTAATAATACGCACTGGCGATTTCCTTTTTTGTTATCAATTTATCTTTAAATCAATAAAAAATAGAACTATAATAAACCTACTATAAAACGTTGTTTATTTCAAATTGAAAATAGTATATGACAAATTAATTGACAAAATTATCATTTTTAATATAAAGTAGTGTCTACGTTTTGGTCTCAAATACAAACTCATTACTAGATTAGTATATAAGTACAATCCTCGAAATTTAAATGAGACGATTCAATTTGAACTTTAACAAGATTGCACAGCGTAAAACTACACATGTAGAAATATAACGTTATTAGAACCAATGAGTATATATTGTACAATTTATACTCAATGTTAGAACTGATCACTGATGATTTAGATGTGAATACCGTACAAAGTCGAATAACCTTTTATACAAAAAATAAGGGCGTATAAAGATCCAATGTAACCGATGTCTTTGTTATTATGGTTGAACATAAATATGCCTGTAATAGATAAAGTTGGAGGATGAAGAGATAACGCTTATTCGTGTACTTATTCATCATAAACGGCGTGCGCTGTATTGCATTTAAGCTTAAAATTAACTTACACCCGTTTTTATTGATAAATGTCAAATAGAAAACTTGTTAAGTTCTTGGAATATAAAAAAAACCACCATTATATTGAACAAGATATTATAGGCGCAGTTAGACTTAGATTTTAAGGGGTGCTAAAATTATGTATACCTGACTTAACATATTTCTTATCTTCAAACCATTAGATATAAAATAACAATATATTTGAAAAAAAAATATTTGAAATAAAAAATGTAATTAAAATTGTTTGCGTACAAATTAAGGTTTTAAATTTTGGGGGTGCTAAAGTCCCCCTAGCACTTCCCTAGTTGCGCCTATGCAAGCGATGTGTTTATGTAAAATTTTGCAATAAAAACATAGGGCTCGGATAAATTTGAAGTAAAAATGTATATTTTGGGTGGGTACTCTAAATAAAAAAAAAATCTTATTTTAAAATTAAATGCTTTCAAGTATTGTTAATAACAAATTTACAATATAAACATTTTACGCATTAAAAAAAAACATTTTTTACTGTTATTTTCTTTGGGAAAAAATATATTCAATTTGCTAGAGAGTAAAATGTAAATAATTCCCGGAATTTTATCCGCATACTCGATAAAAATTATTAAGTAATTTTGCCTTTTTTAAAAAGTTATCTGATAATGGAAATGACACCATAATAATATGCATTATTGTGATGAAACGATGACCAATTAAATTTATATTGTGTGTATCTACTGTGCGTGTTATACGATTTCTGAAAAACGCGTGTATAACTACGTATAATTTATTTTTAATAAACCTACAGTATATAATGCATTTTTATTTTATACTTTAGAATTAGAATCAACATTGTTAGCAACAGTCTTCTTTTAATTTTTAGCCTTAAAGAATTTGCTTATTAATACTCCCAACGCTTAAAACACCAGTATTGTGTTTTACCAAATTATCCATCAATATTGATAATGATAGGCTTATATATTATTAATATTTTTAGCTTATTATTTGGATTTTCTCTTGGAGATCTAACAATGAAACCGTTGCTTCGACCTAATCTTCCTTCGGTATGTAATCTTATACATGAATATATTTTACGTATGAAGATGCATCGCATAAATTTAACATTTTTATGATCTAGGGATAATATATAACAGAGCTGTTCATTAAGCATAAGACACTCGTTTTCTCTCTAATTGTAATTTTTATTTTTGGAGACACTTTAAACGTTAATTTACAATATTTGGCAATGTTCAAGTTTTTGTATTTTTCCGGATTCTTGTTAACTTTTAACATTTAAATGGTTAAGTGTAAACTAAATATTTTTTTCAAATTAAGAATAATTTGCTGGAGGATAACCAGTTTTGGATAATTATTTTTAATGCTACTTATGTTTAATATTAAGATGGGAGGTGGATGGTGGTAGAATAATGCGCGCAGATATAAATAATACTACACTCCAATATTCCTCCCGTCCTAAATTGCTTTAATAACTTCCAAACTATTTGTTCAAAACTGGTTATCGACCAGTCAGAGTTTTCAGAAAATTATTCTTAATTAAAAAAGTTAGTTAAAGGTGTACGTTACCATTTAAACCTTAAAAGTTTACGTATACCAAAATTAGACACAAGCAGTAAATCCGATCTAACCTAACCGTTCTGGTCATTATGTCTTATACATTTTAAAACATATTATAACTTGGGCTGGTTTGTGCTAACTATTACTGGATGATATAATATTGGGATACATATTGAGTATCATATATATTATTGAAAACTAAAGTGTAATGGTAGACGATTATATTTTATTTTAAGCCGTTGACCTAACTTCGCACGTTGTATAATCACTCAGGGCGAGTATAAGCTTATCTTTAAAGCTGTATATAAATGCGATTTGATGAATATCAATGAGACGATCCAATTAAACATACATCTTAGCCAGAAGTCATCATATGGAACGGAATATGTCGGAAATGTAACGTTATTAGAACCGCTCAACGACGATTTAGATGCGAGTATCATACTCAAGTGGAACTATATCATTTACACATACAATTAGATCATGTAAAGATGCAATTTAACATATGTTTTTGTTCTATTTTATAGGTAAACGTGAATATGGCTGTAATGGATAAAATTGGAGGATGGAAACCTAATGCTTATGTGTACTCATCTAATAAGGCATGCTCGACAGTAAAGCGATTTTACGGAAGAACATTTCACACGTTTTTAGGCATTGAACATGCGGAATGCCCGGTTGCAAAGGTACGGTGTAACCAATATGGGAAAAATATCTTTCAACGTTCGATACTAGCTAAAGACTTTTCAATGACTCTGTTCAGATCTTTCATACGATAACGCTTATTTGGTTTTATTTAGAAATCATTATTATTATATAATTTTGTACAATTTTTTTAGGGTGTTTACAATGTTCGGTATGATACAAAAAATTTTGAGAACACATTTAAGCCGGCGGTTTTTTTCTATGGAAAATATAGATTCAAACAATTTTACACTAACAAACAAAACACCGTAGTTGGTTGTAATATCGCGGCTGTGGATGTAGTAAGACCTTGGGATACCGAAGGCAATTATTAAAAATAATTATTTTATATGGAAGTAAATGAGGACACAAATATATTGTACTGCATACTTTTATTTTAGCACTTTCAATGTGAAATACATACAATATAATATAGTTAATTATACTATACCGGGTGATTCTTTTAATATCCTGTAATAGTTAACTCGTAAAATAATTGCAATTTTTTAGTTATTCTTTTCGAAAACATTTTTGTAATTTGTTTATGTGATATTACATCAATATGTTTCAACAAAAACCTTTAAATATGGCACATAATACGGAAACACTCTAATGTAATCTAAGTAATGTATATCGTCACCAACAAATAAAAGCTGTGTACAATGTACATATTAAAATAGTAATGTAAAAATACTTTTGTTATGGTACAGCGGCCGACAGCTGAATTAGTGGTGGGGATTCCCCCGATCCTTTACTGACCACTTTATCACCAACGTCACACTGCCCGCTGCACGTGGTCATAAGACATAATATAAAATAATTTTTTAACCGAAACAAGTATCTCGAGACCTCGAAAATGCTGTACCTACGATTTTTCTTGTAAATAAGAAAGTATTTTATCTATGCACATTATTCAACCACTCTCCACCTTCCGTCCTAAATTTTAAACATTAATAACTTTTAAATACAACTATTTGTTCAAAACTGGTTAAGGACCAATCAAAATTTTCAGCAAACTATTCTAAATTTAAAAAAATTATATTTTATTAAACTGCATTATGTTAGATAGTACGTTTATGATAATTAATAAAACTGTTTTAAAAATAAAAATAATCTACCGCCTTTATAAAGTATGATTTAAGTTTTATACGTAACTTTTAAATGTTTGATCATACATCATCCACAAACAATTAAATTCGTTAAGATTAAAATTTAGTATTGTAATATGGCGGTAATTTTTTTTTGTGTATTAACAAGAAACTTTTTTTTAAATACATATGTATATAATGTACTTGCTTCGGCGGCAGTACACAAAACACTTAACACTATATGTCACTGTAAACAAACATAAGAAATATATAATATAAAAAAATATGTATAAAATTTGGTACGCAACTTTGGTATGTAAAACTGATACTTAGGGCACCTACAATTAATGACTTTTTGTTTTTATCCTCTAAACAAATTATCGTTTAAACTTAAAACTGGTTAACTGGACAGAGTGACTCTTTCGGGTTTATCTTATTTTGTAGGCATGCTTAATTTTGAATAAAATTAAAATAAAAATCATACTTAAGATAGGTATAATATTACCTTTTAAACATTTAACATATTAAAAAGTCAAGAAGTTCTATCTCATTTTATTAAAGCAGAGATATTCAACTCGTTTTTTTTACTTGCGTCAAATATGATGATGCACCTAAGAGCATTTTCTTATCACATCTACGTTGTACTTGGGTTGTCGAACACAACGCGTTATTTAAAAGTAAAAAAAAACTTTTTTCTACTCCTCTGAAAGCAAACTCTTACAATTGAAAAGAATACCTTATTGAGTTGAATCGAAGTACTACCTGGAAGCGTTGTATCTTTAGTCGACTTGTCGATTATTTGACTCTTGTATTCCTAAAACGTAGAGAAAATACGGCAACTCCATTAACCATGGTAAAGTTCATTAAAAGATATAAATCTAAACTTTGCTGTATAAAGTTTTGTACGCTCTGTAATTGAATATGTTTAGTTCAAACAACACGGCAAATTTCGTTCTATCATAAAAGAATAACTTTGCAGTAATTTTTTTTAACACAATCCAAGACATGTTAAAATCGTTTTAATTTCAGTTTGGATATAATGTTCTTGTTAAAAAATAATTACGATTAAAAATATGAAAAAGTATGTTAAAAGTGTCTAAAAAAGTTTTGCAAAACTACTTTAGTTAAAAAAAAGTATATTATACGATTTATAAAAAAGTTAAAATTGCTAGAACTTGTAGTGGTACTTTTTTAGAAAAGCCCAAACCCAAAATATAAGTCTCTGATGTGTATTTTTTTTTATTAATTTGACTTATTATAAAACCAGATTTATAGAAAAAAATATTATGTATTGGTTTTAACACTTACACTTATATAATTAAATAAATTAATATTATTTTAATATGAAGTTTAGTAATTCAATTAAGATTTTTTTAATTTTTACGGACGACCAATTAAAGTTGCCGTGGGTCCGACACAAAAAAAATGTTTAAAAATAAAATAAAAAAAATAATTGTAAAAACAATACTTTTTCAGCTCCGCATCGAAGCTAAAACTAACATCAACAACAGATTCATACTTGCCAATCGGATTTCGGTTTTTTAACTAGTATACTTTTAATACATGACTCTTGATAATACGCGTGAACAATGGACGTGCCATCGACCTAATCGGTTATGTCTATAAAAAAAATTTAAAAAAAATGAAATTACATTACATTAGCGTAAAACTAATACGTTTTGCTAAAAACGAGAATAGGAGACTTTAACATCGCGTTATGTCTATACAGGGTTTAGTGTGACTACTGTCAGAACCGCTTGCGATTCAAACACAATCTCAGGTGGCAAAACTTCAAAAAGTAATCGGGAACTGCAAATAGTATATTACAGTATTATTATTATACCGCTAAAGACATTTTGCATTTTATCGTTATCTCGTTTGAAGTGTTATAATGAAAAATCGTTTTCCGAGGAAATTAATGTCGTATTTAAAGGAAAAAAAAAAAAAATTCTCTCTCCAAAAACGTCAATCATTCGTTGTGTAAGTGCATTGCAAATACCTCTCAGCGTTATTGGGAAAACCCGGGCGGCGCGGAGCGGCGATAGCGACGAAATATTTACACGGCCCAGAAACGGGGAAGGGTTGTTTTCAATAACGTTTAACATTTTGAGAAATTAACGGTAGTCCTTTGACAACACCAACACATACGCACGCTTCACATGGGGAAGGGAGGGGGGGGGGTGCACGTAGTACCTACTCAACGGTTGGTTTCAGTAAGTATAGGAACCAGCTCCGACGCGAGTCGATCATTTGTCAAAGTCTTTTTGCCCGGCCGTGTCTCGTTCCCGAAATGTTGATAAATCGACAAGACCACACCCTGTCTACCGTGGTTAGCGTGAAGTGTAATTTTGGCCACCCTGCCCCCCCCCCTTTCCGTTTCTGCCATCAAAATTCCCGGGCTTCGCCGTTCTCGTACATTATTATATTATATATTTTCGCTGTTTACAAAATATCAACGCAGGCCAAAGGAACTGCCGTGTTAACGACAACGCGGTGACAACGATGTCTATTACCTCGATGCATCATGCTCGTGACTACGTGTTTTATCATCAAAATTGCAATTGCCAAATTGTACTTAAGTATAATATCTCAAGAGAGTGGCGTCAGACACAACGGGGAAAGCGCTAGGGGGGGCAGATGTTCAGAAGCGGGAAATATCACACACGAATTGCTGAACTGCTGCAATCAAACGGTAATATTGTTCAGTGAAAATACCTATTTTTACAAAGAAATCAAATAGACGCAAATGGGTTGTGTAATAACAGGACGTACTATACACTATTATGTTGTTTTTTTTTTTTTAAGATTCGGCTATTTTTATTTAATTTTAAATATACGTTAATACAATAAGCTCATTGAAAAAACAAGGTTTATAAAATATATATGTATAATATTATCATACCGAATTATTATGTGACATTTGCGTTTTTCAAATACTTGTAATTTTTCCTGTCTTCACCGTTAGGTGGCCAAAATAATTTGCATCTTCCACGGCGCGGCGGTACATAATTTTCAAAACTGAACAGAGGTGTTCTTCTTGTTTGTTTTGGCCGTAAAGTGACAAAGGGGACTCGGTTGATTGCGTTAGCTCAAAATTATGACGGGTTTTGCCAGTAAATCGAGTTAGCATAACATTACAGTGGTATTAACCAAATAAGCGGAATTACGGTTAGCATATAAAGCTACGGGCGCCGTTCCCGCGAAATTAGCTCCTCTTTTCCAAAGCTCACCCTAATTTCAAAATAAAAATGTCTGTATATATATCCACGGTCCTTTATCGCTTTAGATGCAGGTATTTATGCACCTATTTATTCTGGTGGTTTTTATGACATACTATTTTTCAAAAATGAATTAAGCTAGATTACAAACATAATTTTTTTTAGTGTTCCATATGTATTGCAGTAATATAAATCATTTTAGAAATATTACTTGGATATTCAACAGCCTCCTTGTTAAAGTAGCCTTTTGAATAAAATGTATATAAACTATATTTGTTGTAGGACATTAAAACTCTTATAAGATATTTTACACTTAATATGACCGTTATCATAACTTTCTTCGGCATATTAATAATTATGAATGTTTTTAATACAGAGTGATCAACTTATCGTGTACCACACAATATCTCACTGGGTTTAATTAATAATTGATTTTTTTCCATAATAATTTTATACAATGTGATCTCAATTTCTCGCATTTTTTTTGTTTTTACCACCCTCCCAATTTAGTTTTTTTGATAGCAACTTTTAAAACTTAAATGGTAACGCATACATTTTATTAGCTCTTTAAATTGAGAATAATGTACTAAAAATGTTGACTGGTCGATAACCAGTTTTGGATAACTATTTTGAAAGTTATAAGATACCACGTAAAAGTACAAATAGGTTTAACTATGGTAAATATTTTAGGTTAGATTTTTTGAAACGAAAGTGGAAAATAGGCAGTTAAGTTGATTGGAGAAGACGGAGTAATAATAATAATTATTATTTTAATACTAAGCAAGTTTGTCTAGAAATTGTAAATCATTTATAATATTAATAGAAAACCGAAATTAATTCTTATAATACAACACACACAATTGCGCAAAATAACATGCTATCCACGTTCTGGTCTTTCAAACTTTGAATAACTTACACATTCCTTTGTCTCTGTACGATTTGATTGTTGAAAATACTTTTTATGCGTTTTTACAACTACAATAAAATCGCAACCTGGTGAAAAAATAATTATTACATGTTTTCCACAAA